GAGAAGTTAAGGTAGAGGTGGCCTCGAAGCAAGGTGTGGCTTATGAAAATGTATGCATCTCTTATTTAGTCTGTGAGGTTCATCTCTGTCATGCCACTATTCCTTTCAAATCCATGAAGGCATGTGTTAGACTCCTGGGTTACATAGCTTTATGCAGGTGTCATGAAACATGCCAGCATCTGTTGCCTGTTTTTAAGCTGTTCTACAACATTTCAGATATAGGAGCAGTTATCTGGAGCTGGATTTGCACATTTATAACAGACTCTTCCTCAGTAGAGGCCTCAAGCTCAAAGGCTAGTTTTGGTAGGACTGTCTTGCAGCCATTATTAGGCAGAACTCTGTGTCCATCTCCAAACAATTACACAGCTGCTAAGTTACCTAGATGAATCTGTGTTGACAGTGTCCCAGTAGGATGATACTTTATAGGTGATTCTGGTACTTCTAGGAATGTCTACACAGATTCCATGGCCACCTTCTCTCATTGCTAGAGTCTTTTTCTGACAATAAGATTTGGCTGGATCTGTTTTCTGTGTCTGAAGATGAAGGTTTGTCTAGGTATGTAGGGCATAAGCCTAGCAAAGGTGCAGGTCTATCCTGCCTTCTGCCTGACTTCAGACTAACCTGGCTAAGTACCTCTCTCCACAGACATAGCCCTTTTGCACACTGTTATTCAATAAAAATCTCACACACCTACCATGTATTAAGAGTGGAATCTTTATTTCTCAATCACTGTTTCCTTTGTGTTGGTAGAAAATAGCATTTGTGTAGCTACTTATTTCTCAAAAACGAGGCCACATATAGCTTGTTCATGTTGCCCACAGCATGCAAATCCTTGCACTGTGGCTGATAGCCATTCACCAGTCAGTGTGGTGATTAATGTAAATGCCTCTTCAGTTAAGATTATACACACTGATCTGCTCTGGCTACTGTTCCTAAAACTCTTGAGTGATCTCACAACTATGGTCCAGGTTCAAAATGGTATTAGGTGTCTAAACTCCACCTGAGTTAGTTACCTAAAATACCTTTTTGGCTTTGGTGCTATGTGTCCTCTTATGCACAACTGTAGAGGCAGGTGCAGACCTTGAAAGTAGCTGAAGTAGAGGATGGGGAGAAGATAGCAGAGACCAGGGCAGAGCAGCTTAGACTGTGTTCTTCATGCAGCCAAGAAAGCGTAGGTTATAGAAATGTTATGGGCCCTTGACATTTGAGCCAGTCTTCTCTCTCACTCCTAATTAAAGTTCTTCCTAAAAAAATGCCTTTTAATGCAGGACCAGTTCCTATGTTAATATGTAAGCCTGTCAAGTTCCATTCTGGGGAAACTAATTTAGAGAAATTTAATCTGACCTGAATGGGGCTGTGCGCTACCTAGTCAGGAAGATATTGTGAGGTGAAAAATAGGGTAGCATCCAACAATCTTATGTGCCTGGATAATTTTCTAGTGTTTTATGGTAGAAACTCTTAATTTTATTAAAAAAAAACAACCAACCCTTTTTTGAGTCAGACAGCACTTACCTAATCAACAGGGTATTAAAACTTACCAGGTACCTTCCTTCCTTCAGAACAGCCCCAGGGCTGGGAGACTGCAGCCACACCCCACCACTGCTGGGACCCAGCGTCTGCAGCTGTGGGACTCCAGAGTCAGCAGCTGGTGGGGCTGAGAGTCCTCTCCGTTGTGGGACTCCCACCCCCGGCTGGGCATGGTGCACCCCTGCAGCTGGGAGACCCACAGGGGAGCCCCTGCTAGATGTACAAATTAAAGCTTGCTAGTGACCAGCTATAAAGTTAATACACATTTTCGATGTCTAACTTTGTAGTTGGTTGGAGCTTTGTATGGCGAGGTAGGTACTCTGCACAAATAGCTGGTCTCCAGGTAATTGTGCAATTAACTAGGTAGTTGCACACTTCCTGCAATGTGTAGAAGGAGCCTGAGTGTCTGAGTTGCAGGTGCAGTCTATGCTAGTCTCCACACTTCTCACTGTAGCCAACACTGATTTAGCTCCACAGGGTTTAGAAATTTTGAGAGCTTTTAGATAGCCTACCGGTATTTTTAACAGGGTTGATTAGGTGGGGTTGAATGGAACTGTATGAATACTTAAAACCAATGACAGCAGACAGCAGCCCATTTATTTGGGAACGCCTAATCCAGTAGCATTAGTAATGTTTTGTTTAGCAATGTAGGAAAATATTCAGTGATTGAGGAATTCCTGTGCGTACCTTTTGGAACATGCTGGGATCTTTGAGTGAAAGATGCTATGGAAATTAGGGGTTGGCTTAGATGACTTCTTGAGGTCCCTTCCAACCCTAGTATTTTATGATTCTGTGACATGTAAAATGGATTTGATGAAATTCATGACAGTAAATAAACTCATTTTATTTAAACAAGAGGGTCCTCTTCAAATTTAAAAGTATCAGTTTGAAGTGTAGTTTGTAACAAACGTTTGGAAAAGCATGTTTTCTCCTTTGTCTCTCTGGTGTTTGCCTGAGGCACTTAAAGTTCATCAGTAATTCAGCATTTTAAATTAGGTAAGGTTAAATATAGCTTACACTCTAATATAGACACACCTAACTCAGTCCACTTTGAACTGGGTGTAGTTATACTGCCACAAGTTTTCTAAAACATGAGACCTAAAATGCTTGCCTTGCTTTTGTTATCCATGTAGCATTACTTGCAGATATGAAGAAAACAAATGGGTGAAATCTCAGTAGAGCTCTCCAATGTTTTTTTTTATTTAACTAGAGAAAGAAGTTTGAGGCTTGTGAAATCATCAGGGCTAGGGACAGACATTCAAAAAGCCGGAGCCTGAATTGATTCAACCTTTTCAAGTTAGTCTAACCTGCCTGAGTTGAACTGGTTTGTAACTGGACAGACATTCTCTCTGGACTGAGGAACTGCGAACACATCATGCCTGGAGTTGCTCAGGCCAGGATCTGGGCGGCATTACAGTGTGCCCTGGCTGCAGGAGAGTGTGCTGCGGGAGTGTGGCCAGTCCAGGTTGAACTGGCCAGAGAGGGGTTTAATTCCCGCTGGCCTGGCCGCAGCCACCACTTGGTCTGCGCTTGGGGCAGCAGCCGATGGAATAAGCCCCCTCCTGCTGGGAGGGGGCTGACCCCAAGTGCAGACCAAGTGGCGGCTGTGGCTGGGCGGGGCAGATCCTGAGGTGTCCTGGGGGCAGAGTGGGGAATAACCTCACTCCTCCCTTCCCTCCTCCCCCTGCCCCTCCCCAGCCCTGCCGGCAGCGTATGGCTGTGCTCCTGCCCCTCCCTGGCTGCTGGAGTGGTAAGGGGCAAGTGACCGTGATGGGCAGCAGCCCCTGTCACGGTTTGCCTAAGCACAAGCCCCTTCCCGGCAGAGAGCCACACTGCGGTCAAGGGAAGCTGCAGCAGAGCGCGACGGTGCTGGGTGGACTGGGAGGGCTCTGGCCCTCTCCAGACCCTGGTGCTGCCACCTGCAGCCTGCTGCAGCTCTGCCAGTCCCACAGTGCAGCACTTCTGCTGGGAAAGGGCTCATGCTCCCTGACGTTATGATGGGCTGTTGCCCCAACAAAGGCCCAGCCCCCTCCCACTGCAGTGGCAGGGCAGGGGCATGGCTAGATGCTGGCTGGCGGGGCCCCTTGGGGGGCTGCAGATTATTCCCCCTCCCTCTGGCATCCAGCTGACGGACAGCAGAGGCTTATTCCACTGCAGGGAGCATGCGTGGCAGTGACGGCAGGCAGACCTGGCTTCCAGTGGCGGTGCGGGGGAGACTAACCCTATTCCCTGCCCCCTCTGCCTCGGGGGCTATGGTGCCCTGCTGCTGCAGCAGTGAGGGGTCCCTGCCAGTGGCACAGGGAAGGGGGAATTAAACCCCCCCTGGCTAGACCCCTGACCCTGCCTGTCCTTGCTCTGACTGGTCAGAGGGGTAGGGCCAGTCCAGCTGGGTTGGAGCAGAGAGCGCAGCCCAGAGAGCATGCTGGGATGCCAGGGGAGTCTGCCTTAAGTTAAACCAGGAAGGGGCCTGGGACACATTGCATAAACCAACTTGAGTCAAATCAGTTAAGTCTGATACTACATTCAATCAGGTTTATTTCAAACCAGTTTCAGCCAGTTTGAAACTGGTTTATGTGCATTGAATGTCTGTTCTGTTACAGGTTTAAACCAGTTTCTGATCACTTAAATCAGTTTATGTGTAATGTCTGTCCCTATCCCTGGTGGCTTTAAAGTTAGCATTACAGTTGCTTTTCCCCATTTATAAGGTTATCAGTAATTCAGGAAATTCAGTAACTAATATCCATGAGGCATTGGGATAGTACTATTCCAATACTGATGTTTTACTCATTTTCATAAGGCCTAACCCAACCATTACTAATTCTGAGAGCAATCAGTGGGTGTTGAATTGGGACCATACCGAGTAGGTATCAAATAGCCCTTGACTTGCTCACCTGACCAAGCAGTCTCCTTGGAATCACTGTGACAAATGAATCATGCTTGACTTCTGCTCTGTTTCTGTTTTTTGCTATGAATTTTATTAAAATCCCAAACTTCAGAATTGTGGGTATTGAAGTGGTTATTTTTAAACCAATAACTCCTTCCTCCACATACTGTTTTTCTCATCTCCGTAATAGACTTGTAAATATGTACCTTATCCCTTTGAGTATTCTGGGATAATTATTAAAGGACTAAATAATGATAACTATCACCATCCATTAGCAGGTCATGCAGTACTTTATGCAATGACAGCAATGAGTATGTAGGCAGAGAAACTGAAGTACAGGGTTGCAACTTGCCCAGTCGCAAGGAAAACCCAGACCTGTGGCTTTTGAGACTTTTGTTTTAGTCACTGCTGGTGCTTCCTCTTAGTCTTTTATTTGCTGTCCTTATCTCTCATTAGTATTTGAAAAACCTGCCAGTGAGGCTCTGAACCTGACTATTTGGCAACTCCAAACCACACCCCTACTGAGCATTTGTTTTTCTCAGCTGGAGCATAGTTATGTGCCAGTAATTCAAGGTGAAGGTGCAGCAGCTCCTTTATAGCGAGAAGCAGCCAGTCAAATTCAGGTGATTTTTAGACTTGGTGATTTTTAGCTCTTGCTCCTTTTTTATGTAGAGCGTGTTATGTTTCGTATATTCAATGAACTGTGGCTTAGCCGAATGTCACCCCGAATGCTGCCACTCCTGGCAGCTGTGCTTTTCCAGAAGAAAAAGAGGAAGGACACCGGACTGTATCACTGGAGGGTAAGGTAAACTTTAGCATTTTTTTTACTTTAAGCTTCTCTATGCACTGACTAAGAAGCACTACGACCACCCTACGAATCCTAAGAAGCATCCCTAAGATGCAACTCGGTGTTCTTGTATATACATAGAATCATCCTTGTGTCTTTAAGATGGTAACCCTCCCCACCCCAAAAAACCCAACCTTTATAATCCCTAGAAAGAGCTCAAGAAAAGTGAGCCTGGATAATGACAGGGAGGATGACAGTGGCTAGGTTTACTGCCCATTCTTAAATTCCAGGCTCTTGCTTTTTTAAATCAAAGACTTTGGAAATTTGCAATTAAATTTTTAAATAGTGCTTGGTGATGACTTGCTTTTGAAAATCCCACCGAAGTCTGTGTTGGCTGACCAGAACAATGCTGCAACTTTCTCCCAGTAGGCTCTGGGTTGGAATCGGGTTCATTATTCTTACTTTCTAGGCCAATAAGAACTAATAATCTAAATTAGACCAAGTATGATAAGGCTTCACCTGATTAAATCCTCACCTGATCTGCAATTGGGTTCCTTTACATTGGTGCCTACTAAGGAAGGTGAAAGGCAAGGCTTACAGTAAAATATCATTTGTTGATTTAGTCTCTTGCCTATGTATGAAAGCTGAGGGCTGAGGTGGTGCGGGCACTAAAAGGCACAGTTTGATGGTTAGCTATCATGTTTTTAGAGGCTCACTGATTTAATCAAATAGCTTCCAAAGAAACTTTATGTTAAAATGAAATTATGCTGTTAAGAATAAAAGTTATGGGGACTCTGCCCTTTGGCCTTTGTCAGCAGCTTCAACAAACACTAATATTCCTGGCTTCCTGAGGTTCAGACCTACTAAAATTAACTTTCAGCTAACTGCAACTGAGGAAACCTGACAACTTTTTCAGTGCTGTTGTATTGCTTAGCTTTTCACTCAACCTACAAGATCTGTCATGGGCATGTGCTGCATGTTTTGTTATGAAACTCCCATCTCCAAAAAAAACTGTGTTTACCCAGAGATGGATTTAAAGAATGAAAGATTTTCAGGACCTGAAATTTCCTCAGATAAACTTGCTTGTTTAGTACATTTTAGATTTGAATCCAAAAGAAGTAGGATTATGTGTGGTTTATTGTTTGAAAATTTAATTTTTGCTGGCCTCTGATGAGAAGTGTGCGTGTGCGTGTGTGTGAAGGGAATCCTCTGTGTCCCCTTATGACAATGATTCTCAACTGGGGTGGCCATGATAAACACCTACACATGATTTACAAGCTAAACCCAGAGATTTCGAACAGGAATCTGCAGTGTCAAAAACAGAAAGACCACACCAGGTCAGAATGAGTTGTTTGTAAATGGAAGAATTGCTCCATTATTTTTGTCCATAGTAAAAAATGTGTGAAATAAGTTTTTGAAATGTGTTGCCATTCAGTTCAGAGAGGTTAAGAAAAAGGGGGGGTGCCTTTATATTAAACAGCTTGAGAACCCTTTTGCTTTGTGCAGGTCCCTACTCTGATCCCACATATACTAAGTAGAGAGATGAATTGTGGGCATATGCTGCAAAAAGGCCACTAGATCTGCAGTGGTGGTAAATCACTGGTTGGGACGCAACCCTTGACTGCCCATGATTTCCAGCCTTAGTCTGGGTGCAGAGGTACAGTCATTCTTCGCTTTTGGGATGTGGTGCATTTGCACATGTTCCATACAGTGTGCTGTGTGGTGTCCTCTACAAGATCTTTTACTTCATGAAAGGGTGAATTTCACCCTCTGTGCACTATCCCCATCTTTGAGGAAAGTACCTGCAAATTCAGTTCCAATACCTGTAAGTCACTTGCACCTGTTGCACAAGGACCCATATGGATCAGCTGCTCTATGTGCAGTTTCCTATGTTCTTGCCATACCTGTGGGGCGCAGGCCATGCCTACCTGATGTCACACTCCCCTTGCAGCCTCTGCAAACGCCCCTTGTAATGTACTATGACACTGCTTTGCCTCACAAAGTTTAACTAGAATAGTCTCAGGAAAATTCCTGTTTTTTTGAAAGCATGGGACGAGAAATGGACTGAGATCTCTCTGCTCCACTGCAGTCTTTAATATGACTTGTGTGTTCCTTGAACTGGAAAGTGTTAGCTCAGCTAAGTGATGATAGTTGAGAAATATCCTTTGTCTCTGACACTGGGGAAGGATCAACATTGTTTTCATTGCAACTTATGGTTAAATATATAGTATCAACAACTTTTAGGGTGGGTGAAAGTTATATGGGTTCTGCCATCAAGGTGTGGTGTTAGTGCTTCTTGTGGTGGCATGGTGTGACCTCCTTCTTGTCAACACAATGGGACACAAATGGGAAATGTCCAGTCACTGGTGAATGGCAGGCACTTCTGCGAAAAATCTTCATTTTATTTAATAGCTGACAGGGCAGCTGCAATTTTACACCAGAAAGGTGGAGAACATAACCTTCTTTGCAGCCTTATATCTATCTCCTTCCTTAAACTTAGATCAAATAGTTGGTCTGTTACAGAGAGGGGGAGAGGTCTCACAGGCCAGGTTTACATGTATAACTTTTGAGTTATAAACTAGTAGGAAAAGCTTCAAAGAAAAGGTTTGACCTTTGGGTGGGAGGGATGAGATCTGAGTGTGGCATGCTGTGTAAGTGTATGTATTTTGCACCAAGAAAACTTGATAGGATTGCAAAGAGAAACATTTAACCCCCACCTCCCCGCAAATTAAAGATGTCTATACAACCTTAACTTGGCCCCTTCATGGGCACACAGACTTTAGTAAGCAGCTATTCGATATTTTGTTTCCTCCTACTTTATACAATATGTAGTCCCAGTCTTTATTTACTATGCACTGTTTTTCTATGACTCATCACTATAACATCTGAGTGTTTCACATGTGTTGAGTGATTTATCTTTACAGCAACCTTGGGAGATGAGGAGGGTAGCAGTATTCCCATTTTACAGAGAGGCAACTGAGGTATAAAGATTAATATCAAGAGTGTCCATTAATATCAGATGACAAGTAGGCATGTGCAGAGCCTGACTTTTTTTGGTAGTACTTGATATGTTTTATGTATATCTGAGCACATGTGCATATATAATATATGTAGTACTTTGTATGTTCAAAGCACAGCTTCCCTTGACTTCACGTGATGTAATTAGAACTTTTTCAGATTCGACCGCAGGATTTCACATTGAGCACCCAGAAAATGACAGATATGCATAACCAGCAACTGCCTTTGGGAAGGTTGGATTGAACCAGTGACTTGCCTTGCACAGTGGCAGAGACCACAACTGAATCCTGTTCTCTGGGGCAGCATTTGACTGCATTGCATCACGAGACTATACTTTACCTTTGTGCCAGCCCCATGCCTCATTCAATGCCTATGTCAATTCAAAGCTCAATACAAGTGAGGCAGGGGCTTTCACCAGCTTGAGCCCTGTGCTTAAACATGCATAGCACAGATACATTCCCAGCTGATATACCAGACTCCAAAGGTTTTTATTGAGCACTTTGGGGGGGGTGGGAATCACAGTTTGAAAGGCATATACATTTTCCATTTTTGGGCAGGCTTTCAGAGGAACAGCAAGAAGCTGTTCCTTGGCATTTGGGCAATGCTTAACCAATTTTAAGTTCCCCTTTCAAAGCATGCATGTGCTAGAATTTCTCAACATAAAATATGTAAGGACCATTTTCATGGATAAAACCATGTGCTTTTCTTTAGTTCTTTTTTTTTTTTTTTTTTTTTTTTTTTTTTTTTTTTTTTTTTTTTTTTTTTTTTTTCATCCTCAGCCTCCCTCCAATGGAGTGCTCTGCTTTTGCTCTTTTATGGAAAAGAAAACCTATTTCAGGTAGCTCATATTTCAGGAGGGAGACTTAGTTATCATTGTGTGAACTGATGGTTCTAGTTTGTTTTGCCAGCTTGATATTAACCTGCTGCTGGAAGGTGATTGGGGCTGAATGTAACAGTCCGCTTGTCTCTTTCAGCGTGAAAAGCACCCGTACTACAATCTTACAGTGAAAATCCTCCGAGCCAGAAATATCAAGGGTACAGATCTGTGTAAGTATCTGACCAATATTATGCAGATTAAAGTTGTATGCAACGCAAAAGACAGAACAGTGAGCATTCCCTCTGGTTTATAACTCTGTAGCTCTACAACTCATTTGCCTTTCAGTGGATATTTACACATAACTTTTCATTTTAACCTTTCCATATGTATTTTTAAGGGTTGAAAGTGGACCAGGGTTGAAATTAGCCTTGCCTACCTATAAGAAGGAGATGCCATTCTTTGAGACCTCTTATTTCTTTGCTCCCTCTACACATCCTACACTGGCTTTGTGTGGGCTCTTTCATGCAGTCCCACCACTGTGGCTATAGATAAGTCTCCTTTGGCCCCTGCAGTTTGAACAGCCTTCCTGCATCTATCCATACTGTATTTTATATTATATTAAACTAATTAATCCCATGGTTTATGGCTTCTGTTGGTCACTTGTAGGGGACCAGGAAGGATTTTTTTCTCCCCTGGATGTGTAACTTGGCTTTTGTGCATTAATTTTTCTCCTTCCCTTTAAGCATTAGATGCTTGCTACTGCTAGAGACAGGAGACTGGTCAGGGTATGCTGGTTCTCCTGGGGATACTAAGGCACCTGGTTGGTTGAAGTTAAAGTGCCTCTGCCACCATTTTGAAGAATGGGATGCTGACTACATGAGACATTGCAGGTGTTTTAATTAGAGAGGCTTCGAAGAGTCACTCCAATTAAAGTGTACCCCCCCCCCCCTCCCAGGCATGTGTATAGATGCCCTAAGATTCTCCTGG